ATATGTGTAGCCTAATAATTGTAACAATAGCGATAACATGAGAGAAAAACAAAACAAATTACAATTTAAAAAATAAGGTTGTTATCAAGTAATATTTCGTTGGCGGAGCTTAGCAATAGATGGTAATCATGCAACAAGGGAGTTGCAGCTCTTCCCCCACAGTAAAGAAACGTGGGTACATCTTTGACTGAACCAACAAGTATTGGTGTAATGCAAAGGTGGGCGCAATTTGGACCTCGCTTGATGAAGAAATTCAACAATGGGCGTTATATTACACCGGTTATCGTTAGTCAAAACAATCAATAATATTTTAAAAAATGAAATTAACACCCGACAATGTTCTTGTTATTAAAATGATCGGCGATAAATTGAAACCAGGCGTGTTCTTGTTAGACAAATCAATTGACAATAACCGCGAAAACTGATTGGATCTTATCAGACAAAGTAATTGGCGAAAAACGTTACAACCATCATGATCTAATTTGACCAAAGAGTTGATGATGACAACTATTTGTATCTCGTTAAACAAAACAGTTACCAGTAACGATGACAACTTATATTGTATCTCGTTCGACAAAACAGTTACCAGTAACGATGACAACTTATATTGTATCTCGTTAGACAAAACAGTTGCCAGTAACCATGATGGCAAATTGGATCTCGTTAGACAAAACAGATGAAAGTGACCATGACAACTAATTGTATCTCGTTAGACAAAAGAATTCGCAGTATCCATGACAGCTGATTGGATCTCGATAGACAAAACAATTGAAAATCACGAGTCAACTAATTGTATCTCGTTAGACGAGTCAATTGGCACAATAACCGTGACAGCGCATTGTATTTCGTTATACAAAAAAACAACAACGATAAATATGAAGCAAGGCAGGCTCTCGTTGGACAAAACAAGCAACAATAAACAAGGCATTTAACGTGATCTTGTTAGACAGATTACCAACAACAACAAAATACTCCGGACAAGATCCCATCAAACAAAACTATTCACAATAAACAAGCAATCATAAAAGTTCTCAATAGATGACAAGAATGTCCTTAAGATAAATAAGTAAATACATGTATATAAATAAGTAAAGAAAGAAAGAAAAGGAGAAAGAAAGAAAGAAAACAATATCTCATCTCAGGGGATTCCGTTTGACACAGTGTTCAAGCTTCTTAGACAAAACAATCGACAATAAACAAGCCAGCCGACAGGATCTGCAGTATCCCTCCCACAGCGCCCAGGGCAAAGGACCAGCCGATGTCGTATTCGATTCCTGCAGTGAGGTCGCTCACGTTATCTCTGTTAAGTACAAACACCACACAGCCGCCGATCACAGCCGATCCTGAGAGGGGAGATATCAGAATTGTAAAAGATGTTACTCTACTAATGTCAAGTATTCTAAGTGGTGATATAATATTTTATATGTATAAATATACATATTATATATATAATTATATAATACATGTGTGTGTGTGTGTGTGTGTGTGTGTGTGTGTGTGTGTGTGTGTGTGTGTGTGTGTGTGTGTGTGTGTGTGTAAGTCCAGTCAAAACTGTCTTTGACGGCCAAACATTGTTGAAGAGAAACGTGGCGTCTTAGACAGTGTGATTACAACCCAAAAAAGTACGAAAGGGAGGAAAGGGGAGGTGGTCGTTTGAACAGGTGATTGTCTAATACAGGTGGCCATAAGAGCAGATTCAACTGCAAATATTATATATATATATATATAAACATACAAATATATATATATATGTTTGTGTGTGTGCGTGTGTGTGTGTGTGTGTGTGTGTGTGTGTGTGTGTCTTCTGTGAAAATACCTCCTAGATATTTGATTTCGCTGGTTAGCTTGAGTTTATATCTGTTGATACTGATCTCCAATGCTTTGGGATCCTGCATTTACTCAGAACTTTAGTCTTACTGGTGCTAATATGCATGCTGTTGAGCTAGTCATGTTCTTGCAGCACTGTTTATCACCACCTGATCTTCGCGAACACTAACTCATTGAGTGCCTCAGGATTTGGGTTAGCCCAGTTTTTTATCTGGCCCATAAAGGCGACAAAGAGCAGGAGGGAGAGAACACAGCCCTGGTAGACGACGAATATCACTGTGAAACAATGAGATAATGTGCCACTATAGTGCGGTCAAAAATCCGTGGCGCAACTTATCCTCAAATGTCTTTTTAACGGGTGAATCAACGTCACACATACTTTGCACAGCAGTTTGTCTCATTTTGTCTTAACTTAATCATATTTTTCAACAACAGTTGAAGCTACATTTAAAAAAATTTTCTTCATAAATTTATATAAAATACTACAAATCTCTTTCACGTAGAAAATGGAATTGTTCACAGCACTTCCCGCTTCTCACGCACATTTTGTATACGAATATGAGTTACGTCACAGCTCACCAATGATATTTTTAGTGGCAAAACTAGTTACAAAAAATTAATTTTATAGTGAAAATTATTTTGCACTAAAGATTATCAAAAGAAGCGCCCAATTAAGATATTCTCGCTGTTAGAAGAAAAAAATGACGGACTTGCTTTTAAAAGTGAAATCGTCCTAGCTGTAACTTTTTTAAAAATCAGTAGAAACCACCCACTAGGATTTTTTATTAGTATTTATTAAGGAATTTTCTAGAATAGAGCTAAAAGGTATTCACAAAAATATTGATCTGTTAAGACAAATTGATGCAAGTAGCTGTGCAAAAGCTGGAGAGTTTATACTCGATAGTTGGGGAGACATTTGACAATAATTTACGCCACGAATTTTTGTCCGCACTATAATGGCGCAGACTGTATTTCTGTACTTCTGCTGTTAATGTTAATCGTTCGAATGTTGTCTGTCAGCTGCCCCTTGACGTCAAACTACTCCAGGGCTTTCCATAATGTGTCTCTATTGACTCTGTCGAAGGCGTTCTCTTGCTCCACAAATACCCGATGGTGATGTATGTCGTATTCAATAGCCCTCTGACACATTTGCCAGAGTGCAAGGATAGCGTCGACGAAACATCTTCCCTTTCCGTTACAAAACGGGGCTTCGCTCAGATCATACATAATAATGTACATAATGATCATACATAATGTTCCCGATCTGGCAAAGTAGCCAGAAACTTCAATGTGTTGTTTTTGTAGTCTTTCTTGTTACATTTTATCTTCCATTTGGACGCTGCAACTGAATTCAGCCAGTCTTTTTTTTTTTTTTTTTTTTTTTGGGGGGGGGGGGGTACATTCCAAATCTCTTAAGCAGTTTAGAAGATGGTTGCAAGCCTCTTAATTCCTACTTCATGAATAATTTATACAGAGAGAGAGAGAGAGAGAGAGAGAGAGAGAGAGAGAGAGAGAGAGAGTGGGCGTGTGTGTGTGTGCGTGCGTGTGTGTGTGTGTGTATGTGAGAGAGAGAGAGAGAGAGAGAGAGAGAGAGGAGAGAGAGAGAGAGAGAGAGAGAGAGAGAGAGAGAGAGAGAGAGAGAGAGAGAGAGAGAGAGAGAGAGAACTACTTATCTACTTGCAGCTCTAACTGGCCGCCATGGAATTTATGTTTCTTATCCTTCTCAAATAATTTACTTTCTCAACCCCCGGTCTCCTCTATTCATTTGTACGTCTATCCATCATTTAATTAATGAACAGCCTCCACTCACCTGCCAGCATTCCCGTCGCTATAAATGACCATTTGAGTTTGGCCACCCAGGTGGTGTTGAGGACACAGACATAGAGGATGGCGCCAGACACAGTGGCCAGAGACAGACACAGGCCCAAGACTTCCAGGCCTGCTGTGGCGTACTGCCAATCTTTGGCTAAGGGAAAATGGTAATAAAAAAGCGTTTATTTATTTATTAATTCATTCATTCATATCATATTCATTTTCTTAAAAATCTATTCATTTGCTCATATCATTTTATTCCTTTTTACTTCTTTTTCCTTTTCTTTTTTTCCCCTCCTTTTGGCTTCCATCTTTCCTTCCTTTCTTTCTTCCTTTCTTCCTTTCTTTTTTCCTTTCTTTCTTTCTTTCTTTCTTTCTGTCTGTCTGTCTTTCTTTCTTTCTTTCTTTCTTTCTTTCTTTCTTTCTTTCTTTCTATGTACTTAAGTAGTTGGCTTTTTGTTTTTCTTTCTTTATAGATACATTTTAATGTATTGATATAAGGATAGGTAGGAAGAAACAATCCTCGAGATTAAAAATGTTCCTAAAAATCTTGCAGATGCTAATGAGCATTCAGATATCTGCTGGGACAGAGTGTGGCGGAAACGCATGAACGTTGAGCAGTCAGTTGCACTGAACGTCTTCTCATGAACGGAAATCATAATCCCCACTGCCTTTCTCACCCTGCATCAAGGTATAGGCCACGAAAAAACACTTTCAGTACCATTTTTATATTTTTTAATGTCTTCCAACTTTTCTGCACATGATTCTCTGTGACTCCTTTCCGGGTTCCAGCATATAAAGGAAAGAAATTGTAAAACCGCAATGTATGGGCTGATCGCTTTTGATATCATGGCGTGGTGGGAACCTCCGTCAAATGAGGTCGTGTTCAAAGAAGCCCTCGTCAATGGTTATGGAACAGGTCTAACTGTGTGCTTATTTAAGAGGCAGAACGCTCGAAGTTAACTTCTAACTTAGTTAAGACCAAAGAAAATGGATGGAAAGCCTTACAGATTCCTCAAAAAGCCCAAGGTCAGAACACCTCATTGGGGGTTTGAACCAGGGACATCCACTCTATAGTCCAGCATAATGACGACTGCTCTAACTGTGCACCAGAAGTCAGCTTGAGATAAATAAGAGCAATTCGGAAGAGATAAATGCAGTTTTTCTGCCGTGCAACCTCTGGCTTTGAGAAGAGTGTTATAGCTGACATGTGGATGTAGTGAGGGGTAGCTCCTCCCGAAATAGAGAAACCTGGTCCTCCGGGTTGGTAGAGAAGTGAGTGGGGCGCGGGGGGGGCGGGGGGGCACAAAGCTACCTTTTACACAGAAAGATCAAGAAGAGGACGACCACACATTAATCTTGGGAGGCAATGACGCCCCTGGTGGGGATAAAGTCTGGTGATGAAAGCCGACGGGAAGTTTTCCAGCGAACTAGTCTTTTGTCAAACAAGATATCAAAGACAGGAACATCAAAGCCATGTTGTTTTTACAGACGTTACTGTGACCTGCTGAAACAGGTAGGATCAGAAAGGTTAGAAAAGACTATCAACTGGAGAACAGCTTAATATACGTTGGCCTTTAGGATGAAAAAGCAAGGCATTTGTGCTCTCAAAGAAAGCTGAAAAATCGTTGATCTCAAAGGAGGTGCATGGATCCAGAAGACCAACAGCATCCTTCATTACAAAGAACAGAAAAATTAACCCAAATGATATCCAATGCTGCAAATGATAAAGTGGATGAAACGAAACCAGGATCAGTTCTACAGATCGAAATGCAGTGCCATCTATGTTGGGCAATTCACAGGAAGCTTCTATGTGTGCAGACTGGAATAAAACAGAGTTGTTTACTGCCACCATTCCCTTTTTTTACTCACCATAGACTGGATAATGAAAGCAGCAAAAGAGACAAAAAGACAGAGAAAACAGTGGATGCTGTGGTCTCAGTTTGGAAATTTTAGACTTTGCAGACGCCCGGACGTTGCTATCCCACAGTCATCCCCTAATGAAGGGAAACCCACACACGACCTAGTGCCTATACTCCAATACCTGGGTTCAGGAGGCGAATAATGAACAAAAATGCAGTCTCTAGGACACTTAAATCGACATAACGAACATACACATTCTGCTCTCTTGGAAAAATAAAAGGCAAAAGAGGCAGAAGTAAATCAAGAACAAATTACAAAGATGCCTGCTTTAAGTTTTTGCTGTTTTTGTTTTTTAAATTTTTCCTCAAAGGTAGGTGTTTTTACACCTCCATCGACACATTTTGGATCATTGAAGAAACAGGGTTCGATCTTTGCTGGTAGGACCAACTCGAGCTGAGAGGGATACAAGGTTCCAGCATAACGACCGAGATACTCGATAAAAGATCCACCTCACATGGGAGTCGAACTCAGGTTTCCTGTTTACAGCCACAGCACAGACGTCGGGGCATCAAGCCTAGCACTTTATGACGATGGGAGCCTTGGACAAGAAAGGGTTCATATACCACACATTTAAGGAGTCATGCAGTAACAACTCGACACATCATCGGTCCATTAATTGCAGTTACACTATTTTGATTTACCTTTACGAGAAAACTTACGTTCCAACGTTAAAGTCACTTTTCCAAGGATGTACAAAAGTTCAGTTTTAGTGGGATTTCTCCAGCACTTGCAACAGTTTGATCATATACGTGCCGAAGATTAAAAGTGTTTCAAGAAATCAACGTACAAAAGGAGGCGTGTTGATGACGATAGACGTTTGACAGGAAAGAAGGAGCAAACCACACCAGACCGCCTGCAAACCATCCACAAACTTAAGTCTCTATAAAGTAGAGCATTTTTATATTACCAAAATTAGTGAGAAGCCACAACATAAGATCCACAAATTTATTGAATGGTGGCAACATTTTGAACTGTTCAACTAACATACTACAGTCTAATTCGTTACTCAAACATGGAACATTGAATTTAGAACTAGAACAATCATTGCGATTCGAATATTCAACAAAAAGATTTTGTCTTCGTTATATTGCTGCCAATACCAAAATGGACAATGTGTACTCACGTTCATTGCTCGACTCACATCCTGTGAAAGTATTGCACGCCTTGAACAATCCTAGAAAATGCACAAAAACACAACAGGTAGTTGTTATACAGATTAAACCGTCAACATAGAACTGGAATCACAGTGATCTATATCTAAAGGGTTTTTAATCCCCAAGGTGTTTAGTTAGTGCATGGAGGCGTCGGTAGCCTAGTGGTTAGGCTACCGGACTCGTAATCGTGAGATTGCGGGTTCGGGGCTTCGAGCCTCAGCTCGGTCCGACGCTGTGTCTTTGGGAAAGGCACTTTACACGAACTTCCCACTTGGCTCGGTCCTATCGGAGAGGTCCCGCCTCTTAAATAACCTAATAGTGTTCATAGGGGCGTTTAACTCATACTATTTCACCATTTTTCACCAGTTAGTGCATATAACCTTACAGATTTGAGACTAAGAAAAACTGGTGAGTGGAATGATTATGTTTCTTGGATTAAATTTTCAGTTCAAATATTTTAGGTTATAAGCTTATTTCAAAGACAACAGAGGTGCCGTTTCATGGATAAAAACCGATCGACGGATGGTGATCACATGAAAGAACTTAATTTTTAAAAATGATAACATTATCAAGTTTTTAAAAAAGAAAGAAAATTAGATAGAACCCTAAACTTTGTGTATTTTCTAATGTTTTTATTTTATAAACACTAAAACACAGTGGTACTGGTTGAGGATAGCTTTGTTATGTACACATCGCGTGAAAACAACACTAAGATACAAAAGAGGCACTTAAATTGTAAATCTAGTATCTACACATAAGTAAATGTGAACAAAAGTCTATGTTCTCCATTCTCGTTTTCTACCACACTGTTCCAAATATTCTTCATCAGCGACTCTCCTTTGCTATTCCTTCTGATTCTTATCGTAGATATCTTTTAGCTGTTGTTGTTGCTATCATTGTCGTCCCTTCTTTCATTCATGTTCTCCCCATCTTCGTCACACTATCATGTTCGCTTTCTCATTTCTTCGCTCCCGGTGTTCTTTTGATCATTTCACAAACACAAGTAAGCCTATACCCTTGTACCACCGACCTTCCACCGCCCACCCACACACACACACATACACAAGTACACCAACAACAGCAACAGCAATAACAACAACAACAACAACAACAACAACAACAACAACAACAACAACAGCAACAGCAACAGCAACAGCAACAACAACAAACACATTCATAAATACACCAGCAAGCAAAACGGATCAGCCGTCTCCACGCCGTGTCACTTACCTACGTTGATGTGGTTAGCACCTAGCACAGGTATTTCGATGGTGGTGGTCAGCCAGTACGGGCATGCGAAGCCCACGATAAAGATAAGCAGCCCAATAGCAGAGATGGACAAGCCCACCTTACCCAGGGACGTGGACTGAGGTGGCAGACTCATGCTGACTGGTCAGGTCCTTTTACTAAGGAAAATAAAAAGCGACAAATGCAAACACAACAACAAGAATAATCCTTATATTGATAAAGACAATCAAAACAAAAGCAAGAAGAAGAAGAAGAAGAAGAAGAAGAAGAAGAAGAAGAAGAAGAAGAAGAA